CCTCCCATCCCATCAATCATCACCAGATCTTCAATTAAGGTGTCACGTACAGTGGACCCCCACATACCGTTGGCATCACATAACGTCAAATCCGCATAGCGATACATTTTATCACTAAAATTTTGCCTCGCATAGCGCTAAAAAACTCGCTCAACGCTATTCGTCCGAGACGCGTCTATGTGAGGCCTGAGCCAGCCTCACATGTTCCGCCGGTGGCATTGTTTACAAGCCAGCCTCCGCAGTAACATCCAAGCATACAATCGGAACATTTCATATTATTACAGCGTTTTTGGTGATTTTATCTGCAAAATAAGTGACCATGGGCCCCAAGAAAGCTTCTAGTGCCAACCCTGTGGTAAAAAGGGTGAGAAATATTATCGAAATACTGGGGTACCATGGTCAACTGCTGCTGCTGCTGCTGCTGCTGTAACACTGTCAGCTGCCGCTGCTGCTGTAGCACCGTCAGCTGCTGCTGCTGCTGCTGTACCACCGTCAGCTGCTGCTGCTGCTGTACCACCGTCAGCTGCTGCTGCTGCTGCTGCTGTAGTACCGTCTGCTGCTGCTGTAGCACCGTCTGCTGCTGCTGCTGCTGCTGCTGCTGCTGTAGCACTGTCAGCTGCTGCTGCTGCTGCACTGTCAGCTGCTGCTGCTGCTGCTGCACTGTCAGCTGCTGCTGCTGCTGCTGCTGCACTGTCAGCTGCTGCTGCTGCTGCACTGTCAGCTGCTGCTGCTGCTGTAGCACTGTCAGCTGCTGCTGCTGCTGCTGTAGCACCGTCTGCTGCTGCTGTAGCACCATCTGCTGCTGCTGTAGCACTGTCAGCTGCTGCTGCTGCTGTACCACTGTCAGCTGCTGCTGCTGTAGTACCATCTGCTGCTGCTGTAGCACCGTCTGCTGCTGCTGTAGCACTGTCAGCTGCTGCTGTAGCACTGTCAGCTGCTGCTGCTGCTACTGTAGCACTGTCAGCTGCTGCTGCTGTAGCACCGTTGTTGGTGTGGCTTATTGAGAATACCAAGAAACAATTAACCCCAGAGGGTTAGCCACCCAGGATAACCCAAAAAAGTCAGTTTCATCGAAGACTGTCTAACTTATTTCCATTGGGGTCCTTAATCTTGTCTCCCAGGATGCAACCCACACCAGTCGACTAACACCCAGGTGAACAGGGAAAAATGCCTGGAACTAGTGCTCATATTGGTGAATTTAAAGCCAGCAAAGGTTGGTTTGAGAGATTTAAGTATCATAGTGGCATACACAGTGTGATAAGTCCTGTTCTGGAAGAAAATGTCAAACAGGACCTACAGTACTCAGGAGGAAAAGGCACTCCCAGGACACAGTGTCTCATCAGTCATTGCTGCATCTTCAATAAAGGTAAGTGTCATTTATTCTTCATTTAGTAGAGTAGTACATGCACAATATATATTGTGCATGTACTACTCTACTATTGTGCATGTATCCTTCTCTTTGTGTATAGGAAAATGTATATTTCATGTGGTAAAATTTTTTTTTTCATACTTTGGGGTGTCTTGCACAGATTAATTTGATTTCCATTATTTCTTATGGGGAAAATTAATTCGGCTAACGATAATTTCGGCTTACAATGAGCTCTCAGGAACGGATTAATATCGTAAGGCGAGGGTCCACTGTATATGTATTATTATTATGCAGTATATTATTATTATTAGTAGTAGTACATACGTTTTATTACAATAATAATTATTCTTTCTTTCTTTCAACACACTGGCCGTATCCCACCGAGGCGGGGTGGCCCAAAAGGAAAAACGAAAGTTTCTCCTTTTACATTTAGTAATATATACAGGAGAAGGGGTTACTAACCCCTTGCTCCTGGCATTTTAGTCGCCTCTTACAACACGCATGGCTTACGGAGGAAGAATTCTGATCCACTTCCCCATGGAGATAAGAGGAAATAGACAAGAACAAGAACTAGAAAGAAAATAGAAGAAAACCCAGAGGGGTATGTATACATATGCTTGTACATGTATGTGTTGTGTGACCTAAGTGTAAGTAGAAGTAGCAAGACATACCTGAAATCTTGCATGTTTATGAGACAAAAAAGATACCAGCAATAATAATTATTATTATTACTAATTTAGGAAACTGGAGCACAGATCCAATTCCCTAGATCAAGAGTCCCTCACCATGTATGTACTACTACTGCTAATAATAATACTAATAATAATTATAACAATAATAATAATACAATATACAGTGGACCCTCAACCAGCGGTATTAATCCGTTCCTGAGAGCTCATCGTTAATCGAAATAATCGTTAGTCAAGTTAATTTTCCCCATAAGAAATAATGGAAATCAAATTAATCCATGCAAGACACCCCAAAGCATTGAAAAAAAAAAATTTTGCCACATGAAATATTAATTTTAATACACACAAACTGAAGAAGACATGCACAGTTACATGACACTTACCTTTATTGAAGATCTGGTGATGATTGATGGGATGGGAGGAGGGGAGACCATTGATCTTGTTAGTGTTTAGAAGGGGAATCCCCTTCCATTAGCACTTGAGGTAGCAAGTCTTTTTTCTGGGGTTACTTCCTTGGTTCTTTTAATGCCACTAGGACCAGCTTCAGAGTCATTGGACTTCTGTTGCACAACATATCTGTCCATAGATACCTGTACCTCTCGTTCCTTTATGACTTTCCTAAAGTGGTTCACAACATTGTCAGTGTAATAGTCACCAGCACGGCTTGCAATAGCTGTGTGAGGGTGATTTTCATCAAAAAAGGTTTGCACTTTAAGCCACATTGCACACATTTCCTTAATCTTTGAAGTAGGCAACTTCTTCAATTTCTCTCTCCCCTCCTCCGAAGCAGTTTCCTCAGGTGTGGCCTCTTACTGTTAAAGATGATCTAGCAGCTCATCAGTGGTTTGTTCTTCATTGTCCTCTTCCACCAACTCTTCCACATCCTCCCCACTAACCTCACCAATATGAGCACTAGTTCCAGGCATTTTTCCTGTTCACCTGGGTGTTAGTAAACTGTTGTGGGTCGCATCCTGGGGGACAAGATTAAGGACCCCCAATGAAAATAAGTTACAGTCCTCGATGATGCACTGACTTTCTTGGGTTATCCTGGGTGGCTAACCCTCCGGGGTTAATCGTTTCTCGGTAATTGTTTCACATTAAGCCACGCCAACAACACTCTCTCCACATCTTCGAGTAATACAGCTGATGGTGGTGCAGCAACAACAACAGCTGACTGTGGTGCAGCAGCAGCTGCACCTTTGGCAAGAACAGCTTCCTTGATTGCCGTTTTCTTACCCACAATAGTAGCGATGGTTGATTGGGGTTTATTATACAACCTGACCAGCTCAGAGACACGCACTCCACTTTCATACTTAGCAATGATCTCTTTCTTCATCTCCATAGTAATTCTCACCCTTTTTGCTATAGGGTTGGCACCAGAAGCTTTCTTGGGGCCCATGGTGACTTATTTTGCAGGTGCAATCACTACAAAGGCTGTGATAATATGAAATGTTCCAGTTGTATGTTTGGAAGCGACCACAGTGGCTGGCTAGCTTGTAAACACTGGCACCCACAGGACAAGTGAAGTGCGCTCAGGTCAAAGTGGACGCGTCTCGTACGGACTGAATAGCGCTGGTCGGGTTTTTAAGCGCTGGTTGAGGCAAAATTTTTGCGTTAAAATGTATCGCTAGTCAGATTTATCGTTAATCGATGCCATCGCTGGTTAAGGGTCCACTGTAATAGTAATAATAATAATAATAATAACAGTAAGGAGAAACTTCAAAAGGCTGCCAGCAGTTGGGGCTGCCAGCAGTTGGCGCCACCATCAGCAAAACATTGGTAACTTCTACTAGTACACTTTTCACCTGTTTAGACTTAAGTAGTCTATTAGTATTAGGTTAAGTCTGCCTGAAATGCCTCAGCACGATAGTGGCTTTCTTTGCTCCAATCATATGATGATATGTAAACACACATTGTAACCTTTACAAAGAAATAAATATTTTATTTATTTATTTATTTAAGGAATCTCCCTTGAGGGAAGAGTTCGCATCCTGAAAGTTTGTTTGTATCCAGAAGCGAAAAATCGACCAAATGACTGTTCATATCCTGGAAAATTCACATGGTGGGATTTTCGCAAGCCACAGTTCCACTGTACTCAGTTCGGAGAACAGGATAACTGCTCTTGCTGCTCAGTCTTTGACAAAGCCTCCTAAATCAAAACCCAATTACAGTACTATAGTAATGTTGCAGTTTTATACAGAGGCACACTTACATTACAGTTATAAAACTGCAACATTAACACCCTTCCTTCAGAGTGCAGGCATAGCACTTCCCATTCCAGGACTCAAGTTTGACCTGCCAGTTTCCCTAAATCCCTTCATAAATGTTACCTTGCTCACACTCCAACAGTATGTCAAGTCCTAAAAAACCATGTGTCTCCATAGGAGCAAATGGAGACAAATGGTTTTTTAGGATTTGACGTGCTGCTAGAGTGTGAGCAAGGTAACATTTATGAAGGGATTCAGGGAAACTGGCAGGCCAGACTAATAATAATAATAATAATTTTATTTCAGCATGATGTATGTTTGTACAAGGAGTATGACAATTAAGTGTACATACCAAAAGCCCCTTTATGTGCAGAGCATTTTGGGCAAACTCAAGACTATCTTAAGATTAATAAAGCAATAACAGTGCAGTAATTGTACATATGGTCATTAGGTGAGTTACAATGAATACAAGAAAATTGACTAGTCTATTAGTTCATGCTATATGGCTTTAGTAAGTTTGGTACAGAAGAATTACAGTTTTAATTATTATGGAATATTAAGGATATGGAATATTAAGGCTCCAGAACACATTTCCAGTTTTAACAAAATGTTTTTTTGGAAAAATACATTCCAAGTTTAAACAATAGTGTTATGAACAATTTCCAGCAACAATTTAATGTCCTAAGCTGGGGCCCTACTCTACTTTCATCCAGTGAAAAGATAACTTTCACATACCTTTCCCTTGAATGTCTCTTTGATCTGTCGTGAACTGTCTTGTGTTTTCATTTTTGTCTTTCGGAACAAAGTATAGTCTGCAGCCTCATAATCAAAAGCTTCACTAATCTGTTCACTGCTAGTGTTTGTGTCCGTAACTGTTTTATCACTGGACAACTCTCCCTCCTCTGCCGAAATATTTTCCTCTGTTTGTTCCAATTCTTTAGGTCTTTTCACTTTACTGGGAGATTCACTTGCTTCAGATTTCCTTTTTACTAATTTGTTCTTTTTTCCTTTCTGAATCTGAAATATTCATAAAAAGAAATGCAGTTATTCTTCCACATATTAATTATTAAAATGGAAAAGGAAGGAAGTTTTGAGATTTGAGGAGTGCTTTGATTTTTAAGAATCACTCAGTGCTCTTGGCAATAAAAAGTAAACAGTATGCACTAACATAACAACACCTAAGCTAAACCTATATAATAAAAATATATACTACTAGCATAAACACACAAAATAAATATATACTATCACATTAACTTAAAATAATTGGTATAAATTAAAAAACATAAAAAAATTACTAACATCAAAAGACCCCTAAAATTTTCCTGAGGAACATACAAGCACACTGGTAATTATAAAAAACATGATTTAAGGAAAACAGGATAAAGCCATGAGCACAATCATCATGCCTCACATCAAATACAAGGAAAAGGAGGAAAAAGGGAGAGAATGACCTGCTAGCAAGTGACTACGAGCAAGGTGTGTATGCCTGATCCACAGTCTACAGAGAATCATCATCAAACTCTTGCAAATGTCAAACTTTGAATAACTTAGTGTTCGTTAAAGCCCAAACACAGCATACGCAGACTTTGCAAATCTTCGATAAGTATAATTACGGTGAAATAATACATGAAATGTGTACAAATGGAATAACTGAAAAGTGGGCAGAAACATTATTTTTCTAACAAACTGAATGCAGTAAGTAATAACCAATAAAGTAAAATAAAGAACAGTACTCATCCCAATCTATGTATGGGCCAGTGGGTCCTCTGCAGGAGCACTGCAGTGGGCCTATAGGTCCATGCATAGACAAAGACAAATCATAGCACTCTTATCATCCTTTTCAGGTACTAGAATTTATATAAAGTAGCATCCGCTAAGGACACAAATCTCCAAATTTCATTTACTCCACCATCAATAAATGAAAGAACTGTAAAACTGGAACAGAGTATAAAACAAACTCAAGCTACTCAACAGACTGGAAGAGGAATGCAAGGGATTTAGCAATGATATTGTCAGAAAATCTTATATTCAAGAATCACAGAAATGTTACTATTATATAAAGCCTGGAAATGTAACTAATAAACAGAAGAAATGTTATTTTAGTGCCAGAAATGCCTGCATTGTTTATCCTGGACCTTATTTTGATATTGGAACACAGCGGAACCTTGGTATACGACCTTAATTATTCCAGAAGGCTGTTCAAGTGCTGCTCCATCTGAGTATCGAACAAGTTCTTCCCAACCAATTTTCTGTTTGGTTGACTGTTAACGCTAATCATAGTAGGCCCCCATAGTGACTTATTCATACAAATACAAAAAACACCAAAAAAATGCGAAGAAACGCGAAAGAGTTTACACCGAAGTTCTGGCAGGTCGTGTTTGTTTGGTCGAGTGCTGAGCTTTGTTCGAGTAGGGAGCTAGTCATATACCAAGGTTCCACTGTATTCTGAACTTTGTGTGAAATTGGCCAAATTGCCAATTTCCAATTACTTTATTGGGTAGCTGAAATAGTTGATTAGGCAATTTCTTGTGCTCAACAGATACACTGGAACATATACTAGCAAAATTGCGAAGAACTCGGTCTAATGGAACAACATAATTGGCCAAAAATAGGACTCAAAGTGGGCAAAATGGCCGATGCGTATAGCTCACACTGCAAAATTCGCAAGAGTGGAATTTCATCAATTTTTATGAGATTTCGTACTTTTTGTTTGATTACCTTCAGAAAAAGATTCTCTACCATTTTATATGAATTTTTTTTTTTTTTTTTTGGGGGGGGGGGGGATTCTTGAACCTTGTTGTGAATTTTCAGATTGGGGATCTGCACCCTCAAAGGGTTAAGCCCTCTGAATTTTACCTTTGTTAACACTATACCATCTAATTCCTATACTCTTAATTCTTTTGTCATCACAAAGAACCGTGTCAGTTCTTTGAACCATTCATCTACAACACAACACAATAAATGTCATATTTGGAAAGATATCTAGTTGGATCACAACTAACAAATTCACACTCAATTTTGATAAGACCTTCTTTGTGTGTTTGAACAAAGCTTTAAATATTCATTTGAGCAAAAAGATAAATAACTCACAGTTTAAAAGGAAGAATACAGGTAAAATCAGAGGACTACACCAGAACAATAAACTATAATTCAATACCTACATCCTGAATATTTCTAACAAAATTCACAAAACAACAGACATTCTCTCAATGATATGTTATTATGTACCCCAAACATCTCTACTCATTCTACTACTCCATAATCTATTCCTACTTTACCTACTGGCATTTGTGCATGGAGATTAACAACAGCAAATCAAATGAAACCCAGTAGAAATGAAACAGTAGAAATCTGTTCTATACCACACCCCCCACTTTTAACCCTTAAACTGTCCAAACAGATCTACGTTCACATGCGGAGTGCTCCAAAAGTAGATGTACGTTTTTTTACATATTTTCAAATATAACAAAAAAATGTAGATCAAAGTTTCTTTTTACACGTTTTCAAATGTAAAAAAAAAAAAAGAAGCTCGACGTTTTTTTACATACTTTCAAATGCTGAAAAAACGTAGATCTACGTTTGGACAGTTTAAGGGTTAAAAAGCTAAAATTTGCTTAACATACAAAATATTCTTACTTACTACTGTGCATACTATGTATACAGTGCACTCAGTACAAAATTTAACCCAGAGCTTAAACTCTTTCTTGGAGAGCTGCAACAGAAGACATGAACAAAATAAAAGGAGCATGTATCTCTTTGATATACCCAAAGGATAACTTCACCTGTCCACAAACTCTATGCAAATAAAAGCTCCAAAAACATGGAATGTGGTGCCTTCAAATGTGAAAAATTCCCTGTCTGAGAACAGCATTAATAATAATTAAAAAACACCTACTAAATCTTACATGTTATATCCAGCATATGAATGTAAATGTTCATGCACTTTGGTACCACTATAATTCTACTACTCCATAAAATGCACATTATTGATCTGATATAAATTCAGTGAAAATTATCTGTAATTTCCTAAAATTATAGGGTATGATTACAATGAAGTTATATATTCAAGGATTAGTTTGCCCAAAATGTTATGCATAAGTGACTTTCTTCTGAACATTTATTTGTATCAACTCTGTTTTTTTTTTTTTTTCAACAAACCGGCCGTATCCCATGAAGGCAGGGGGGCCCAAAAAGAAAAATGAAAGTTTCTCTTTTTAAATTTAGTAATTTATACGGGAGAAGGGGTTATTAGCCCCTTGCTCTCGGCATTTTAGCCGCCTCTTACAACACGCATGGCTTACGAAGGAAGAATTCTGTTCCACTTCCCCATGGAGATAAGAGAAAATGAACAAGAACAAGAACTAGAAAGAAAATAGAAGAAAACCCAGAGGGGTGTGTGTGTATATATATGCTTGTACATGCATGTGTAGTGTGACCTAAGTGTAAGTAGAAGTAGCAAGACGTACCTGAAATCTTGCATGTTTATGAGATAGAAAAAAGGACACCAGTAATCCTACCATCATGTAAAACAATCACAGGCTTTCGTTTTACACTCACTTGGCAGGACAGTAGTACCTCCCTGGGCGGCTGCTGTCTACCAACCTACTACCTAATAACTCTCTTTTATATAATATAATACAATTCTTCTCTATGAGAAAGTGGAAAGGAATCCTTCCTCCATAAGCCATGTGGGCTAGTAACCCCTTCTCCTGTATTATTTACTAAATGTTAAAAGAAAAACTTTTTTGTTTTTACATTTACAGGGTGAACTAAAAAGAAAAACTTTTCTTTTTCTTTTTAGGTCACCTTGCCTTGGTGGGAGATGGCCAGTGTATTTAAAAAAAAAAAAAGAAAACTTTGTAACAAATTGTTATTTTACCTTAATTTTCTCAAAAGTAAGCAGATGTACTGTAAACTGCCATGTTTGTCCAACAAGAAAAAAAAAAATTTTTTTTATTCATATTATAATATTCAAAAAACATTATCTATGGAGGCAAAGAAGGGAATGTATGAAAGTATAGTGGTACCAACACTCTTATATGGGTGTGAAGCTTGGGTTGTGAATGCTGCAACTAGGGGGCGGTTGGTGGTGGTGGTGATGTCCTGTCTAAGGGTAATGTGTGGTGTAAATATTATGCAGAGAATTCGGAGCGTGGAAATTAGGAGAAGGTGTTGAGTTAATAAAAGTATTAGTCAGAGGCCTGAAGTGGGCTGGTTGAGGTGGTTTGGTCATTTAGAGAGAATGGATCAAAGTAGAATGACATGGAGAGCATATAAATCTGTAGGGAAAGGAAGGTGGGGTAGGGGTCGTCCTTGAAAAGGCTGGAGGGAGGTGGTAAAGGAGATTTTGTGGGTGAAAGGCTTGGATTTCCAGCAAGCATGCGTGAGCATGTTAGATAGGAGTGAATAGAGACGAATGGTATTTGGGACCTGATGAACTGTTGGAGTGTGAGCAGGGTAATATTTAGTGAAGGGATTCAGGGAAACTGGTTATTTTTATATAGCCGGACTTGAGTACTGGAAATGGGAACTACAATGCCTGCACTTTAAAGGAGGGGTTTGGGATATTGGCAGTTTGGAGGGATATGTTGTGTATCTTTATACGTATATGTTTCTAAACTGTTGTGTTCTGGGCACCTCTGCAAAAACAGTGATATGTATGAGCGAGGTGAAAGTGTTGAATGATGATGAAAGTATTTTCTTTTTGGGGATTTTCTTTCTTTTTGGGTCACCCTGCCTCGGTGGGAGGCAGCCAGCTTGTATAAAAAAAAAAAAAATTCACACAACACTTTCCTCTGGTAAATTCCTTTTCTCGCCTCTATGGATAAACTTCTTTATTTTCACAGATACCTCAACATACCACCAATCTTTTTACTTCTCATCTATGCTGCAGTTCACCCAGTGTTTCATGCACCCTACTGCCAACATGACCACTCCCAAATTTCTGATATCGTCTTTCATTGTCTACACTTTTTGCTACCCTCATCATCTTTCTCTTTTTCTATGTTCATTTTTAATTTCTGTCTTTACAAATTCCTTCACCAACATTTGCAACTTTTCTTCAGAATCTACCAAAGGAACTGTCATCAACAAATTGCAACTGTAATAACTCCCACTTTGTATCAGATTCATTGTTTTAATCCCATACCTCACACAACAGCATAGTATTCATTGTTTTTACAACCCCATCTATAAATACATTAACCCTTTCAGGGTCCAGAGCCCAAATTTCAAAGGGTACACCAGTGTCCAAGAAGTTTCCCCCCCAAAATTTTTTATTTTTTCTTATGAAATAGTAGAGAATCTTTTTCTGAAGGTAATAAAACAAACAGTACGAAATTTGATGGAAAACTGACAAAATTATTCTCTCGCGAATTTTGATGTGTAGCAATATTTACGAATTGGCGATTTTGACTCTCATTTTAGGCCAATTACATTATTCCAGTCGACCAAATTCTTAGCTATTTCACTAGTATTACTTCTATTCTATCGATTGAGCACAAGAAATCGCCCAGTCAACTGTTTCAACTACAAAATAAAGTTATCGGAAATTGGTAATTTGGCCAATTTAACACAAAGTTCAAAATATTCCATTTTCAAAACAGGGTCCAGAATAAACAATGCAGGCATTCCTGTCACTAAACTAACATTTCCTCTGCTCATCAGTTATGCTTTGAGGCTTTACAAATGAATTCCATTTTGATTTTTCATTCACATAATGAATTTTTATTCAAACCAAAAAATAGAAGATTTACTGTTATGCAATATTGTAATAATTGTATAAATATCATCATCACATTTGTGAATGTATATTAGACCCGCCAGCTGGTATGTATTAGACGTGCGAGGCCATTTGTTTACTCTTGAACATCGACAAAAATTTAACATTTCCACTACTTCGAGCTCAGTTTCAGGCCATTTTCAGTACTAAAACCAATCAAAATCATCTCTACTTCTGTAATATATCTTCCATTCTATCAAATGAGACCAAGAAATCACAAATACAGCTATAAAAAACATACGAAAAAACACTGCAAAGTCGCTGCTTTAATCGAAAATCAGTCTCGGTTTTTTCTCTCATTATACACTGTGTGCTGCAGGATTTGTTTTATGTGGTGCACACATACCACACAGATGTATTCTCTCATATCTAGTCCCAAATTTACCACTCACAGCTTATCAGAGTGAGCTGAGCTCATGGTGTAGATCTACGGTTTGGACCCTGAACGTAAAGCCATAAATCTACAGGACGGACCCTGAAAGGGTTAAACAACCATAGTGACATCACACATCCATAAGGCCTAATTTTACTGGGAAACAGCCTCTCCTCTCTCTTACATACTTTAACCTGAGCTGCACTATTTATATAAAAGCTATTTACTGCTTTTAGTAACCAACTACAGTGGTACATCGAGTTACGAACTTAATTCGTTCCAGAAGGCTGTTCGAGTGCCAATATCGAAAGAATTTGTTCCCATAAGGAATAATGTAAATTAGATTAGTCCATTTCAGGCCCCCCAAAATACTTACAAAAGCACTTACAAAAATACACTTACATAATTGTTCGAGTTGGAAGCTGTTCGAAACTCGAGGTACCACTGTATATTATCATTACATTTGCACCCTCTGTTGCATTGCTTCCCTATTTACCCTACCATATGCCTTTTCCAAATCCATAAATGTAAAAAATATTTCCTTATCTTTATCTAATTATTGTTAAGTTACCTGCTTCAATGTAAACACTTGGTCTACACATCCCTTACCCTCTTGAATGATTTTTCTCAGCCTTTGCCCAGTTCATTACATGAATATTTTACCCAATACAAACATTATTCTTATTGTCTCTTACAGACGTGTGTGTTTAAGGACTCTTAAAAGCTTCGTGCAGTTTCACCAATGTACAGAATTAACCCTTTGACTGTTTTGGTCGTATATATACGTCTTTCGAGCCAGTGTTTCGGACGTATATATACTCAACAATTCTAGTGGCTTCAAATCAAGCAGGAGAAAGCTGGTAGGCCCACATGTGAGAGAATGGGTCTGTGTGGTCAGTGTGCACTGTATAAAAAAATCCTGTAGCACACAGTGCATAATGAGAAAAAAAAAACTCTGACCATTTTTTTGGATTAAAATGCCGACTTTGAGGTGTACTGTATTTTCGTATAGTATTTATCATTGTATGTATTCTCGTTTTCATGGTCTCACGTGATAAAATGGAAAACACATTACAGAAATAAAGATGATTTTGATTAGTTTCACGATGAAAGCAACCTTGAAATTGAGCTCAAATTAGCAGAAATGTTCAATTTTTACCAATGTTCAAGATTAAGCAAATCACACCACACGCCCAATACACATCAACTGGGGAGTCTAATATTCTTTCACCAGTGCACTGATATTATTTATACCATTTTTACAATAATGCAGTAGTCTGCATAACAGTAAATTTTGTATTTTTTGTATGAATAAAAAATCAAAATAGAAAGCAACAGTAATATAAGAGGGGCCTAGAGACGTGACTAATGAACAGAGGATATGGTATTTTAGTGCCAAAAATGTCTACATTGTTTATTCTGGACCCTATTTTGAAATTGGCATCTTTTTTAATTTGCATGAAATTGGCCAAATTGCCAATTTCTGACCACTTTATTGGGTAGTTCAAATCGGTAAATGGGCGGTTTCTTGTACTCAATTGATAGAAAAAATGGAGTTCTAAAGAAATAGCTATGAGTTTGGCCAACTGGAACAACGGAATTGGCCAAAAGCTGGGCTCAAAGTCGGCGAAATCGCCATTGCGTATATGTCGCAGAGGCCGCTAACTTCGCGGGAGCGTAATTCCGTGAGTTTTCGACTTAATTTCATACTTTTGGTGTCATTACCATCGGGAAAAGATTCTCTATCATTTCATATGAAAAAATAATTTTTTTTTTTCCAAAAAAAATTTTCGAAACAGAATGACAGTTTCAGAAAGAGGCTTGCGACAGTCAAAGGGTTAATATTGATATGACTGCTGATCGTTGTTGACAATTGCAATGTTGATTTCACTGGTCAAGGGTCTAACTTCAATACTGCATTTGTCACCAATACTGAAGCAGACTTCACAGAATTCTGTTGTTGATGTGACAGTGCACATTGGCTAGAATGCACAGAGCCTTCACAAAAAAACCTTTGTACATGCAATTGAATCATTCAAAGGAAAAACTGGCACATCTAATGGACTGGACAAAGGCTGAAATAATTACCTGAGGGGAAAATAGAACAAGACAGTGTCTAGAGGCTGCACACAGATATGAACTTACAATACCATCAAACTTCTAGAATTAAGAGGTGTTCAGCATTACAGAACCTCAAGCCAAACTACTTCTTTAAAAATTCACTAAAACACATTATACTATATGAAGCACTTACCTCTTCACTAAGAATCAAAGATATTTTTTTTACACTTGTTCCCTGCTTATTAGTAATATCATCTCCCTGTTGGTGCTGCTGACGACCATGCATTTTTAAATTTGCCTTGGACACCTTTGTATTAAGTGGATTTTCTTCTTCAGTCACATGGTTTGATTTTTCTTTAATACATTCTCTATCCTTATTAACCGTGTTATTTGTCAGTGACATGAAGTGTTCTCTAACCTGAAAGATTATGGCAACAATGAATTTCAGAAATCTGAAAATACTGATAAATATTGCATATCAGGATTAAAAATAAAAACCTAAGCAGAGTCAAGGGGGTGTTAATGTTGCATTTTTATAACTGTAGTGTAAGCACACTTCTGGCAAGACAGTGATGGAGTGAATGATGATGAAAGTTATTCTTTTTCGGGCCACCCTACCTTGGTGGGAATCAGCTGATGCATTAATAAAAAAATAGAAAGCAGATTTTAAAAGGTTGATACAAAGTTGCTGCTCTTACTATAAAATATCTTGATCTACCATATACTGAATCATATTTAGTTTGGTTATGTTACAGATCTGAATTACTGTGCCTTAAGTTTGAATAAATGTTGCAAATGGGAGGAAAGTACTGAAAATTGTAAAAAACTTCCAACATTTAGGGGCTGACAACCTATCCAACCAGAACTTACTAAGGTAGGATAAAATTATTTCTTTGGATTTTTTTGCCAATTTTTCCCCCAAAAAACTAACTTTTTTGGAAGTTCAAGAAATATAAACGTATTTTCCCATATGTTCTTCACTTTCGTGAACTCTCATATGAAAAAAGTGCCAATTTTCAGAAACATAAACTGCACACTACTCAAGGGTCAACTATATACAGAGCTTTTACAAATATTTTATTTTATCTTGCATTAAGGATATACATGTTTGTGCAAATTAAAGAAAATATATCAAATACTTACCCTATTGACCCGTTCAGTATCTCCAGATTGTTCCTCTTTCTTTTTTTTTTCTCCTTCCAGAAGTGGCTTCAATTCTATGTATGCTGTATACCTTTCATGTGGACACATGAATTTCTGAGAAACCTCTAAATGTTCCTGTTCTTTGCACAATAGCTGATTCTGAGAAAAAGACATAAAAAGTATGGCAGATAACGCTCATCTTACAGAAAAAATAAAAAAAATTATTTATTAATTAGACACAATTTTGAGTAACCCATGAAACCAAATTGAGTTTTCTTTTTACAATGGCAGGCCAGTTTCCCTGAATCCCTTCATAAATGTTACCTTGTTTGCACTCAAGTCATAAAAAGCACTTGCCACCACTCACTACAATGTAACATGCTAACACAAGCCCACTCAATCCCCTAGCATTTGAAGTCTCCTCCTTGAGTGCTAGAGGCTTGATCATCCAACAGGCTTGTGCTCACACAAGCCTGTTGGGTGACAACAAGCCTAAGCTATCTATGTAGATAAAACTTAAATTACATAATATACACAGATAAATACATAAAACACTAATAATCACCTTTGTGCATCCAAACAAGAGTGATCTGTCTTCCAATGAGGCAGGACTTATTTTATTTTGTGAAAACAGATCTCCCAGCAAAGTTTCTCTTGGGTTCAGAAGAGTAGGAAGGTCTGCTGGATTTTCTTCACATTGTGAAAGATCATGTTTGCATATAAAATTCACATTGTTATCATATGTGGATTGCATTGTTTCAACATTAAGTTGTCCTTCTAAAGGAGTATGTTTAATCTGAAAATAAAAAGTGTATAAATGCTTCAAGGATACAAAGGCTAGGCATTTTATTTAATCAGCAAAGTCTGCTTTAAATACAGTAGACCATCAGTTAACATGTGATTTGTTAACATGTTTTTGTGTTAACACGGTTGCAAAATTGCAGCATATTTTGTGTTAACAAACAATATTTATTAATTTACAGGGTGGAGTACATGCAGGAGAAAATGTGGCAAACATCGGTTCTCTCTCTCTCTGTCTCACAATGAGCCAACGGGCAAGTTCATTGTCTTACAGGGAGGCATCCTTCGCCTCAGTGCACCATTCCTACCCATACAATACTATACATCGGCCACATACCTCTGCATACCACTTGCCTCCACCCATTCCCTGCCACACATAAGGCAAACTCCACCCACATCTTTCCCCCCCACACCTCTACACACAGTTTCAGGCTCCAATAGCCACAACTCTACAGCCCTATGCCCACACTTCACCCATACTTTCATGGCCTACATCCTAACATGCCTTTCACACACCTAGTGATGTAGTCACCCACCCTCATTACCACCCATACCACCAATCATACATACACCCATCCAGTCACCCATCCACACCACCATCCACACTGGGCCACCAACACAACCACACCATTCACCCACATCATTTCCCCACACTTTCAAGCCCCCATAGCTTCTACCCACACATTTCACCCAAAGCACTTCCCCACAGCTTCTAGTGCCCAGAGCTCCACTCCCACACTTTACCCATGTTTTCATGGCCCATATGCCCTAATATGCCATCCATCACCTTCATCACTACATTCACCTGCTCAGTCACCTATCATCCAGACCACCACCCACACCAGGCCAGTGACACAGACACACTTTTCACTCACACCATTCCTCTCCACAGCTTCAAGCCCACATAGCCCACTCCTGCAAGCCATGCTTGTACAGCCCACATGCCCCAACACACAGTTACTTACCACCCCTCATTACTGCCCACATCACCAACTCCACACAGCCCACCAAGTCACCCATCACCTACACCACCATCCACACATGCCAGCAACACTGCCATCCACATCATCATCATCACACTGCTTCATTCCTTCTAGCCTCCACCACTCCCACCACACCCCTCCACTGCCCAGCATCCTCCACTTCTCTACACAAGCCTCTAGCTCCTGCTCTTGCCCCTCCACTGCTTGACCTCCACCTCCAATGTCAACCCCCCTCCACTTTTTTGGCCCCTCCTACCTCTTTCCATATACACCCCAATAACTCTTAACCCCTTTTATAACCCTCATACAGTTGCAGAGTCAGACACCTGAACAATAAGACACCTCCATCTGTTAGCAGAGGTGTGGATGTGGGATCTTTGACTAATGCACATCACTGCATCGACTTACGACTGTATTATCATTTTTATTATAATTTTGAGACAAGAAAATTTATAAGCATCTTTGTGATCTAAGGAATGTAACCATATTTTCCCCATATGTTCTTCAACTCAATTTACACAATTTTTTATCACATGCCATCTTCATGAACGTAACAACCGTTTTAACCAATGATCATTTGTACATAATGTCTGCATTTGTAAATATCCACATAATAAATGATACAGAGAAAACACTTAATTATAACAGCAAATTTTTACAGCTTATTAATCAATAACACATGGCCTTCAGTACCAAAAACAAAGGACAATAGATAAAATGATGGACACATAATAAGAGGCTTTCTGAAAAAATAATAGTTTAATTATCATTCCCATATTATCAATACCAATCTGGCAGTTCTTTAAGCCATTGCACATTCCAAAATAAATAAAAACAAACACATACACACACACACACGGCCAGTGAAGAGGTAGGGCCAGGAGCTATGAATCGACCCCCGCAACCATAACTAGATGAGTACACACACACAAAAAAAAAAATAAATAAATACAGGAGGGCCCCACTTATACGGCAGGTTAGGTTCCAGGCTACCGCCGTAAAGCGGAAACCGCCGTAAAGTGGAACACCCTTTTTTTCCACTTACAAATGCATACAAACACTAGATAACAAGTTTACACTAACATATATTATGTTAGCAATAGAACCAGGCATCAAAAAACAATAAAAAAGTACAATACACACATAGTGCACTTTTTACTTACCTTAAAATAAATTTTTAGTCTTAATCTAGGGTGAGACAAGTAGTATTTATTGTAAGAAATCAAGTGTGGTATGTATGGTAGTCCCGCCAGGCTACCATACCCGGCCACCCCACCACACATACTATTCTATGATATTTAAGCATCCCAGAGCGATAAAAATGTAATTACAGTTCACTCATTACTTACCTTAAAATATATAGGGTGAGATGAAATAGTATTTATTGTAAAAAAATCAAGTGTGGTATGTATGGTAGTCAGCCAGGCTACCATACCAGGCCAACCCACCCACACATACTATTCTATGATATTTAAAACATCCCAGAGCGATAAAATGTATATACAGTTTTACTCATTACTTACCTTAAAATATAGGGCGAGATGAGTAGTATTTATTGTTAAAAAATCAAGTGTGGTATGTATGGTAGTCAGCCAGGCTACCATACCAGAGAGAAAGAATGAGTGCATGAGAGAGGACAGGCGCAGAGTTATGTAAACAAACCAGGCGAAGGTAAGTTTTGTAAACAGTGTTACACGTCTGGTTTGTGTACAAGTTACATTGTCTACAGGTTGTCTCTACATTGATACGGTAGAATAAATAAAGAAGAACACTCCCATTCTCATGTAACATCATTTTGAGAAGAAATGATGTCTGAGTGAAGGCAATGGAAGTAAGTCACTCTGACTTTTTTGGGTTATCCTAGGTTCTCTACACATATGTTGTTATGTATTTATCTTATGTATCGTGTTTATTATTTTAATTTTAAAAAACAATATCACGGATGGATTAATGAAAATGTGTATATTAACGTAATATACAACATTTAATGATACACTGAGCTCAGACAGCGTAAACAAACTGAACAGGTTGTGGACGATCACTCGGTCAGGCGAAATAGACGGTATTAATACGTGTCCAGTTTTAGTTCATTCATGTACATTTGTAAGAGTTTGTGAAACTTTTACCTTATAATATTTTTATTATTATAATAATTAAATCACGAAACAAATACTCTTACACTGTGTACAAGTTAGTACAGAATTATAGCTATAAAGTGAAGGCATATGAAAGGAATATTTTTCTACAGTTATCCCTAGTAACAGGTGACGGGCTAGAGAAAACGTAATTCTTCCGACACTTCTACAAACCGTTTGGTAAACATCTCATATATATTTGTATAAATTTTTATACTGTGGGTGCATGTATCATGTTTGTGTGTTACATAATGTGTTTCTTATATAATTTTGAAAAAAATATCATAGATAGATTAAGGGAAATGTCTATATTAACGTAATATGCGACATTAATGCGACCAAGAGATTATTATTACTATTATTATTATTATATTATTATTATTATTATTATTATTATTATTATTATTATTGCATCAAGAGTAGAGAGACTCTTAGTGATTTTAATGTGTACCTACATGCCAGCACAGTGTGTAAGTTTATTTAGGTACAGGTGTACACAAGTTTAATTATCAAGTACAATACATATAAAATATACAATAACTTTAAAACACTTGAAATTTTGGAAAGTTTCCAGACATAATAAGGAGATGTGCTCAGGGAGAATGTAAACAAACTCGGTGGGCCGCTGTGACCGTATTAGAAAGACAGGTGGGGGGAGCCGTATAGCGAGTTTTGGTCATAATTTGAAATGTCCGTATTAGCGGAACGCCGTAAAGCGAAACGCCGTAAAGCGAAACGCCGTAAAGCGGGGCCCTCCTGTAAATAAAATTATTATTAATGCTTCTATCACAACAGTTTGACCAGATAGTAAAAGAAGATACTAACAATACCTGTCATCACAGATTTCTCTTAAACCTTTTCCCAGAAATACTGTGATAAAAAAAAAGAGGAGATATCTGACAACAAAAGAAAAGTGCTTATAAAAGGTATATGGAATAGAGAGCATAGAAAAATATAAAAAAATATAAAGACATTGAGTACACTCATTACTTTGTCTTTAATTGAGAATTTTGGAAACAAAATTTTTATTTCTTTGCATAGTTTACAACGTGTAATTACAATACTGATTTGCTGAGTGCATAGAAAGCCACTATCATGCCAAGGCATTTTGGGCAGACTTAACCTAATACTTTACAGACTACTTAATACTAGACACATATATCATAGTTGATTCGAATTGAACATTTTTTTTATATATCAACAGAGGTAGTAGTTAGTGGTTTCATAGTAATTAGATTAACAAGTAATTGAATAACAAGTTACAAAGATGAGGTGATTTTTAAGTAGTGCCTTAAATTGGTGTGCAAGGCAGGGGCCCATTGTATTTTCAGGCAATGAATTCCAGATCTTAAGGCCTTTATATGCTTTGTATTTTTGCATAGGGAGAGATGGACACGAGGGATATCAAATAAGTGTTTTGTCTTGTGTTACGCAAGTGCATTCTATGTAGTTCTCAAGAAGGAGTTTGAGAGGAGGGTTTATATAGGAAAATAATGTTCTATGTATGTAGTAGGCACTATAACTTAAGTGAATGTTTTGTATGTTAAGCAGGTTCAAGCTCTTAAATAGTGGTGGGGTGTGTTGCCTGGTGCAGGAGTTTGTAATCATTCTCACAGCAGCTTTCTGTTACATAATTAAAGGTTTAAGGCAATTTGCTATGGTTGAACGCCATGCACAAATATCATAAATGAGGTAAGGGTAGATGAGAGAGTGGTAAAGAGCAAGAAGTGCTGTTTGGGGTACATAGTACTATATCTTAGAGAGGATGCCTACAGTTTTGGAGATTATTTTGGAAATATGCTGTATGTGGGTCTGAAATTTAAGACAGCTGTCAATGTGGACCCCTAGAAATTTTCCATCGGTGTGTCTTGAAATGG